AAAGTATCTTTACACATGCACACAGGCATAAAGTGCTACCTCTGAGAAGCAGGTCTAGCATGGAAACATTAATGTCTTTGAAGCTCCTTTCCTTGTTTTCCACAGAGCGGCAGAGCTGCTGTGCTACATGGACAATGCTCTGCTTCCCATCGTCAGGAGACAGCACCCTCACTGTGGGCCTGCAGGACACAACTGCAACAAAGGACACATAAAAACACATTAAATTAAATATGACTACTAATGGTATTCTTCTGCAAATACACACCCAAATTTTCAACTTTGTATATATATATATTTTTAATACTGTAACCTTACTTGCACACCTGATGTAGACTACTGGAGCACACTGGTGAAGTATGGATTGAGGGATTTTAGATTACACCTGGGAAACATATTGTTGGGTAAACTGAGAAACTGCTGGGTCAATATAATGATGCTTCGGCTTCAGTCAGACATTACCTCAGTGGAACAAGCCAATTAGTGACATTATTTATTTATGTTACCATCTATGTTCATTTCGTTGACTAATATTTTTTTTCCACAAAGGAACTACTTAAAGAAAACTAAAATATGTGGATAAATACTACGATGAAATGAACTGACACTTTCTGACTCACCTATTCTTAATGCAGCCGTTCACACCGACCATGTAACTTCACTGGATGAATTTGTGGCATTTATTACCAATCCAAGTCTGAATAAAAAGCTCTGACCAGCCAGACCAGTGGACTCGTAGCTCAAAACATGACTGGTCAACTGGGTATCTGAAATTATTTCTCTTCCTCAGATGTGACAGCAACTTTACCAAGAACAGCTGAAACTGCCCCATGAAATTTTACCTGCTACTTCTATCTGTAGAGAATCTGATGAACCCAGAATTTCCATTATTTTATTGTCTTAATTCGAAACTTCAGGACCAGCTCATCATGGTTTAACATTGACTTAATTTTTTTTTCTTGACACTGTGTGAGGACAAAAAGTTCAGCCTGTACATACATTACATGAAAAGTTTGAACTTGAGAGTAAGTGGCTCAGGTGTGTGTTTTTGCACAATTACGTAACTACTCATTTAATTGTCTTTCTTTTATTTATTTATTTTGCTGTGTTCAGTGGTTGTAGAAATGGTTTATATTAGCATTTAGCTGAGATTCTGAGGTTTCTATGGATATCAGACATGTTGATATTTGCATCAAAGAATTGACGTTAAACTACAGTTTAACCCCTTTGCCCCCAGAACCGGGGGCTTTGGGGCTCTCCAAGGTAAAGGGTGTAAGGGTCTGAAGTTTTATAAGTGGATTCCATCTAACCTAATGAAGAACAATACAGAAAACAAAAATGAGGTTGTGGGCACTTCCAACAAGTGGACACAGAAATTTTGGAATGTAACTACTTATATGTAACACAGTCACAGAATTTAATTACAAGAAAAACATTGATCTGGAAATATACAATTAAAATACAGTTACTAATCAAAATGTTGGTATTACAAGTTTAAAAGTTCTTGTTGGTAAAAAGCTTCCAAGTACGTCCGAGTCTGTAATTGTATGAACTTAAAA